CAATCAATCATGTTCTAATTAGAAAAAACTTGAACAAAACACCATATGAAATTCTTAAGGAGAAAACTTCTAATCTTGGATATTTTCACCCATTTGGATGTAAATGTTATATGTTAAATACCAAAGACCATCTATACAATTTCGATGCTAAGGCTGAAAGGGTTGTCTTCCTTGGCTATTCTTTAAAGGGTCAAGCATACAGGGTATACAACCTGAAAACTAAAAGGGTTGAGGAATCTGTGTTTGTTAAATTTGATGAGACTGCTTGTGATGATAAAGTTAGTGCAGAAGGCCTGGAATTTTTGTTTCCTATTGAAGATCACAGCAAAGAAGAGGAAGATGGAACATCAGTTGAACCAAAGGAAGATAGTGACTCTTCAACTAAAGAGAAGAATGCTCCTGCATACATACTAAAACGGCATCCTCCATCACAAATCAATTGGAATCAGAATGATGGACTACACACACGAGGTAAGTACCAACCAGGTCAGTACGCATTTGTCTCATTACTAGAACCCAAGAACTATAAAGAAGCTTTGACTGATGATGAATGGGTGACACGCTAAAACACAACACCAAACAGCGACCAAGTGTAATCGCAGTACGGAAATGCAGACTAGTGGAAAGTTCTATTTGTCAACCCGGGGTCTAGATCTACTGCCTACTCCGTGATTATCTATTATCTAGCAAACTAAGTCGAGTGATTGTGATTTTAAACAAAAGCAGAAAGAAAGCAGGAAATGGTTCGAAGTTCTTTAGCAAGTGAAGAGTCATTCGGGATTGAATCCCCCTAGCTCCTTAGTTAGGTCAAGGTTGTAATTACCCTGGGTTGATTAACTGTTGATTAAACTGCGGAAGATCCGACAGTAGCTTGAAATTTCTTAAGCTGACCAAGCCCTCTCAGACAGACTACCCGGCAGACGACTAGTCTTCACCGGGATAGAACGCTGAGGCAATAAACGCAACACTCCACTACTAGAATTAGATTCCACTACGAAGCAATAAATCGATTAACTCTCATATAACCAATCTACCACTACCGATTGATGAAGCTACCTAATCAGATTCTATCTATCTCAGGTTGCAGCAGAAATCAAGAAAAGATGATCATAATTCAATTGACTCAATGAATCATGCATCAATCGATTATAACCAATCAGTATATCAATCCCAATTCATTACAATCAAGATTCCTAACACATGGAACTAGGGTTCTTCATACCCAAGTGAGAGAAGGCTCTACTCCATAGAGAGAGAGAGAGGAAAAAAGAAATCAGAGCAGTCATACTCATAAAGATGGGGATAATCTGCTCTGAGATATCGATCTTCACTCCTGGGGATGCAATCTGGGGTTCAATGGTGAGAAATCCACTCCAAATAGTTCCTAGGGTTTGTTCTTCGCACTTTCTCTCTCTAAAGCTCCATTTTTTGCTCAAAAACTTGATTCTCTCTCATTTGGCTCGATTCTGCCTCAAAAACCCGATTCTGGGCGAAATACGGGCTGAATTACGGTCGTAAACAAGGTCCGCCCGTATTTCGCCCAAAACGCGCGTTTCACTTAACTCTGATGAGGGGAATTACGGTCGTAATTACCCAATTACTGCCAGTATTTGTGGAATTACGACCGTAGTTCATTTTGCTCTTGCCCGTAATTTTATCTTTGAAGGCATTCTCAGGGATTTGGCTCGGCATTGCATTTACTGTCAGGGTAGAGGCAATTACGCCCGTAATTGGGCAGGGGATGCCCGTATTTCTTCCTCCGCTCCTGTTTAATGCTTCGTTTCTCCCTCATCCGGACTCTGAATCAGTCACCGTTTGATCCCAGACGCTCGTGGTCTCTTCCTCTTTCTTTTCATGACAAACTTCCATGATTATTTGTCCATAATATGAGGTAGAAGTTCATTATTCCTCAGGTCATGCTCGTGTTTATTCTCCCGAATTGCCATATGAATTCCGATTGACTTGAAACTTGCGCCTTTGCTTCAATTTACATGCTAGGACCTGAAATGTGACAAAGGAACACAACCTAGCGTAAAATAGTCCAAGAAATCAAAAAATCTAGCCAAATTGATCAAGAAACGAGGGTGCAAACATGTGAAAATACAACGTTATCAATGGGTATGTGCTATGCAATAAGAACTAGTAAAGTTTGCTCGACTGCATTTCTGGGAACTTGTACCTAGACCAATCGATAGATTAATTATAGGAACCAAATGGGTATTCTGAAACAAAACAGATAAACATGGACTAATAACTAAGGATAAAGCAAGACTTGTAGCTCAAGGTTACTCACAAGAAGAAGGGATAGATTTTGATGAAATCTTTGCTCCTGTTGCTAGATTTGAATCTACCAGACTTCTCTGTGCATATGCATGTTACATGAAAATACCTTTGTTCCAAATGGATGTGAAAAGTGTCTTCTTAAATGGAGAAATTAAAAAAGAAGTTTATGTTAGTCAACCACCAGGTTTTATCGATAATGAATTCCCTGACCATGTTTATAAACGGTCAAAAGCTTTATAGGGTTTAAAGCAAGCTTCCAGAGCTTGGTTTGAAAAGCTTTCTGCCTTCTTAATAAATGAGGGGTTTCACAAGGAAACGTAGATAAAACCCTATTCATTAAGAAAGAAAAATCAGACACATTAGTAGTACAGGTATGTGTTGACGATATTGTGTCTGGATCTACTAATCCTGCCATGTGTTCTGAGTTTTGTGAGTCCATGAAGTCAAAATTTGAAATGAGTATGATGGTGAGCTTTCACACTTTCTTGGCCTACAAATCAGGCAAACCAAATCAGGTATGTTTATTAGTCAAACGAACTACATTGAATCCATGCTTAAAAAAATTTGATATGTGTTCTATAAAGGCAAAATACAGTTGTATATCCACAACTATCACGTTTGTGACAAATATATCCACAACTATAAAAAATACACGAAATATCCAAAAATTGGAGGGCTGTGTGACAAATCTATCCATTTCTGTTACAAACTTGAACGTCATTTGTTACGACGTTAGTTAATGCGACGGAACGCTGACTAGGACCATACCCATCCCACACGTAAGCTCCAGGTCATCAAAATTTCACATGTTGACGCCACATCAGCAAATAAATAATTTTTTTTCTTTCTTATACCCTGGAGAAACGTGACTCTCTCTCTCTTACCTTCTCCCCGTTCACCTTCACGCACTAAGCCAGCCGAAGGAACCATCGCCACCGCCACACAAGAAATCGGAGGGTAGTAACAACAATCTGAAAAATAATCACCACCAGTACTAGAGGGCTTCCTCTTCATCTTTCACATCTTCCCTTCAGCCGAAGGAACCATCGCTGCCGTTACACCTCCCTCACTCGTCCGACATGCCAGTGTCTCCCATCTTTCGCGAGGCAGTTGAATCCCAAACTCGATATCGCATCCGCGCCCAAATTTCATTTCAACAATGTCACTAGAGCGGGGAACATCAATCCCAATCTTTCGCGAGAGCAGCGACGCTGGATCTGAAGTCGTTCACTTTGCTCTTCGAATTCGTCGCCGCTGGATCTCTCGGCGCAGCGGGGAGCTCCAGCCCCGGACCTGGCGACAGAGGATCTGGGTACGACAGCTGCTTCGGGGGCAAAAAGGGAGGCTATTTCGGCGGCGGCCATTGGGGAAGAGGCGATGAAGAGGAGTTGGGAGCCGAGCCGGAGGTGGTCGTCGGTTCTTGGAAGATGCAGAGGTTGCTAACAGAGAACAGAAATAAAAATATGGATTTACCCAAAACCACATCTCACCTCTGCAAGAACATTTAGGTCTGTGTAATGGGTCACGGCCTACAAAAGTGCCCAAGCAGCGAGGTCCAATTGACGACAATGGCGGCGGGATCTGAAGGTTGCTGCAGCGAGGTTCGATTGACGACAATGTCGGCAATTGAAACGGAAACTCGAGGACGACGATAGTGCTGTGGTTGTCAGCGTCGGCGCCGGTTGATTAAGATTGAAAGGGAGAAAGAAGGTTTAGGAGGAGAGAGGAGGTAGAAGTGGTGGCGGTGGAGGTGGGAGGAGGGCGATGAGAGAGAGGGGAAGAGGTCGTGGGAACGGAAAATGAATCGAAAAAGGTTTTTTACTTTATTTTTATTTTTTTCTTTTAATCCACATCATTCAGTGGGGTCAGAAATACGCCAACTAAGCATCCACCGTTTGTCCAGTAATTTAGTGGACGGAAATGGATATTTCGTGTATTTAGATAGTTGTGGATATATTTGTCACAAACCTGATAGTTGTGGATATACAGTTGTATTTTGCCTTCTATAAATGCATGTTCAACTCCTATGGCTACCAATCTTAAGTTAGACAAGGATGAAACTGGTATCTCCTTCTGTGAAAAGAAATACAGAGGAATGATTGGATCACTCCTTTATCTAACTTCCATTCGTCCTGACATCCAGTATAGCGTTGGACTATGTGCAAGATTTCAAGCAAACCCCAAAGAAAGTCATTTTAAAGCTGTAAAAAGGATTTTTAGATATCTTAAGGGAACTGCTCAAGTAGGACTTTGGTATCCAATAACAGAATCATTTGACTTAGTAGGATATTGTGATTCAGATTTTGGTGGAAGCATCATAGATAGAAAAAGTACATCAGGAGGTATCCAGTTTTTAGGACCAGCTCTTGTGTCTTGGTTAAGCAAAAAACAAGGTGCGGTTGCATTATCTACTGCTGAAGCTGAGTAAATGGCAGTTGGAAGCTGTTGTACTCAGCTAATGTGGATGAAGTCTCAATTGTCTGATTATGGCTTTAAGATGAGTAATATTCCTGTCTGTTGTTACAATACCAATGCAATATGTATGACAAAAATCTCTGTTCAACACTCTAGGACTAAACATATAGAAATAAAATACCATTTCATTTTGTATCTACTAAATTCCAATTTGCTGACCTATTTAAAAAACCCTTATCCAGTGAATGTTTTCTGCAGCTCTGTACAGAAATAGGGCTTAAATATTCATTGGGGGTTTGGTAGAAGTTGCTTCTGGACTTCCTTTAGCTATCAAGGTGATAGGGTCACTTTTGTTTCATAGAGGGAGGGAATTTTGGGAAGAAAAGTTGAAAGAATATAGAGGCATTGCTTCTACTACTGAAAATGTGTTGCAAGAGAGATTGAAGATTAGCTACAATGACTTGTCGCACAATGAAAAACAAATCTTTCTTGACATCGCATGTTTTTTTATTGGTCACCCGAAAGATTTACCTTACTACATGTGGAGTGGGTGCGATTTTTATCCTGAAAGTGGAATCGACACTCTTATTCATAGATCTTTGATGAAACTCGAGAAAAACAACCGATTATGGATGCACGATCACATCAGAGATCTGGGGAGAGCCATTGTTAAAGAGGAAGATGTTCGACATCCATACAACCGCAGTAGAATATGGTATATTAAAAGCACAAGTTTATTTTAACAGTTTCACTGTTCCTTACGACAAAATAGGGGCTCATTAAAAATGGTACTGTTCATTGGTGTTTATATATAGTGTGCACGGGTGTACCAAAATGAGGAAAAAAATTATTGGCAATTAATTATTCCAAACGCATCATTCTCTGCATAAAAATATCCTTACTTTCTATAACAAGGCTTTAATTTGACAGGTCTTACTTTTACATGTTTTATTTATCCACCAATTTATAAAACTCTAATTAGTTGAAAGGTAGACACCCTTAGAACTCTAACGTGATTAAAGAAAGGTTGGCGAACCGATTTATATCGCAGGTTAATCAAGTGAAATGGTTCGACAGGTGGTATAATCGGTTTATTTTTGTTCATGTCGGTTTAACAAAATAGGTAAAAATGCGAAAAACTATTAACATCAAATGAATTAAATCATGCATTTAACATATTTGAATAAAATTTATCTACAATCTATTCATATTTAGATAAAATAAAATACTTCAAATAAAATAATAAATACTCATATTTAAATACAACATTTAATGTCAATACCTAAACATTTATACTTGAATCTAACAAATAACATCAACATTTATAACATGATTTTTATCATTAGACCTCACAGTAAAAAAGACTGGTTTAACACTATTCTATAACAGTTACGTAATTATAAATATATTCAAGTAATTACATTATAAACTTTTTACATTAGATCACATTGTACCAAAAATTTGTGTAATACTATTCTAAAACTATTGGGTCATTACAAATATATTATTTATAAAGCTTCCCAATTCACCATTATCTCTTTCTTAACTTGACTTCATCTTTAGACCACACATTAAGATAGATTTCTGTAACACAATTATACTCATATTTAAATACAAATTTAATGTTGATACCTAAATGTTTATACTTGAATCCAACAAATAACATCAATATTTATAACATGATTTTGATCATTAGAACTCACAGTAAAAAAGATTGGTTTAACACTATTCTATAATAGTTACATAATTACAAATATATTATAAATAATTCAAGTAATTACATTATAAACTCTTTACATTAGATCACATTGTACGAAAAATTTGTGTAATACTATTCTACAACTATTGGGTCATTACAAATATATTATATATAAAGCTTCCCAATTCACCATTATCTCTTTCTTAACTTGACTTCATCGTTAGACCACACATTAAGATAGATTTCTGTAACACAATTATATAAAAATTATGTAATTATAAATGCATTATATAAAGCTTATGAAGGGTAGTTATTTCTTAAATATCACTTAAACAAAGCATATTGCATAAATATTTTTAACGATTCGGTACTATAAGTTTGAATGAAAATTTATTTATTATTAACTAAATGAATTATTCATCTCATCAATTTGCACTATAAGTTTGAATGAAAATTTATTTATTATTAGCTAAATTAATTATTCATCTCATCAATTTGCACTATAAGTTTGAATGAAAATTTATTTATTATTAGCTAAATTAATTATTCATCTCATCAATTTGCAATACACAATTGTTTTTCCAGGTAAGTTATTCTTTTACATAATAGTTTGGTCATGAGACATTGGAAAGGTTATGGTGGGATAGTTATTTTTATATCACTTAAACAAACATATGGTGTATGCCTTTCATAATCATTAAGACATTAAGTAAAATATATGGATGTATCTTACTCTAATAATTTTATGAATTATTTTATTTTAATTAAATTATTAAATAAGTGGGTGAACTTTTAAATATAGTTAAATTCTTACCGCCGCGAAGTTTGCACAAATTTCATTAAAAATAAAAGTTATTTTTTAAAATAACCAAGTAGCTGTTCATTGGGCTGGCCAAGCACCGGGTGCACCTGATCGCTTTCTTTTCCATGCAAATAAAAAATAAAAGTTCTCTGTTTGTGACAATAAGTATTAAAATAACCAATAGAAAAACAAAACAAAAAACTCAATTGAAAAAATGAGGGGTTCAATCTCCCGTTTGTCTCATCCCTGAACCCTATGAACTGCATGCCGGCAAACGACGGCGGAGATTCATCCCTTCACATGTCTCTCTACTCCATTCATCCTCATCTTGTCCTTCCATGCAGTTTCGTTCCCTGGGTCTTTCAGCCTGAAATCGGCTCAAAATCACAAACAAATGAATCTGATGAATTGAGGATTTTCATCAGAACAATCAATTTCGTGTTTTTTAAACAATCAATACCAAACCATGCCCGATGAACTAGGAGACCATGTCGGATGGAAAAAGAGGCTGCGCCAATGTTCTCGACAAGCGTTACTGTAAACGGTTTTCTGCATGCTTTATCGAGATCGATGGAGCTCTAGCCTTTGAGGGCCCTTTCATCTCGGACTGCCAGAAGTCTCCTTCCACAAGATCCCAGTATCCCACAATAATGCTTCCCACCCATAGCTAACTATAAAAGAGAAGAGCGTTCTACCAAAAAAAACAAAAGAGAATAGCATAGACGACCCTACATGTGAGATCATTAATTCCCAATCATATAGAATTTCAAAGATTTGAACTTGCTTCATCAAAGTAAGTGAAAAACAAGACAAAATAACCAAATATATAGCTACTTACCTGGGTTATTTGAACCAGCAACATAGCAGCAGCAGCGTGGATTCCACAGTTGGCGAATATGGTGATGAGAAAATGCTACTTTCAAATTGAACGACACTGGATTTAACGATAATGACCAAATCATTAAGGCAACTCGAATTACTGTTTTGCATCCATTAACTTTCCAAGTGCAAGAACCACGATTTGTGAAATGGCAGAGCTGACGTAAAGTTGGTCCGACCTGTAGCCAACAAACTAATTGTCGAAAGTGAGAAAGAAACATGGTTGTTTCGGTTGGATCGTCAGTGATTGGAATCATCAGCTGCACTAATTGGGTTGTCGTTAATTTCTTCTCCTCCTCCTACTTTGTCCCCTGTTTTAAAACAGAGTATCCAAAGAGCAAGAAGTCAGAAAAATAGAGCATTAACTTGCTACTTGAAGTCCGGAATTTAACACACTTGGAGCTTCATCTTCTTAATAGAAGATAAGGGTTTCTATCATTTGTCTTCTTTACCAATTTCAAACAGATATTTACTGATAAAGAATTGAAGATGAGGTGAATCATTGATGAACATGATGAATGGATAAAAAAGATGTGTGCATGAGCTACACATGTCTTTGTTGGCTATGAAGGAATGCCACCTGTATGTATATGTCCAGAATCCTCTACTATATGGTCTTTCTCAATATCCGATTCTTTTCTCTATATACGAGATGTTATAAGGAACTTTAACGGTGGAAAATAATGGTATGCCAGATTAAACTTCATTGTATTAATGTGAAAAAGAAAAAGAAGAAAAACAGCAATAACAATTCCAACTACAATGAAAATATTATAGATATTAACGCAAAAAAAAAAACAACAATGGTAAAATAATTATTCCGTTGCGGAGCACGGGCCAAATAACTAAGAGGGCTTTGGATTTTATTCCAGAATGCAAGTTCTATGAACCAGAAGAAATGACTCGACATCTTTCCTTGCAACTTTTTTGCAAACATGCTTTTGGGATGAACAATCCTCCCGAGGAAGATGCGGAAATATGTGACGAATTTGTAGAAGTTGCTTCTGGACTTCCTTTAGCTCTCAAGGTGATAGGGTCACTTTTGTTTCATAGAGGGAGGGAATTTTGGGAAGAAAAGTTGAAAGAATATAAAGGCATTGCTTCTACTACTAAAAATGTGTTGCAAGAGAGATTGAAGATTAGCTACAATGACTTGTCGCACAATGAAAAACAAATCTTTCTTGACATCGCATGTTTTTTTATTGGTCACCCGAAAGATTTACCTTACTACATGTGGAGTGGGTGCGATTTTTATCCAGAAAGTGAAATCGACACTCTTATTCATAGATCTTTGATGAAACTCGAGAAAAACAACCGATTTTGGATGCACGATCACATCAGAGATCTTGGGAGAACCATTGTTAAAAAGGAAGATGTTCGACATCCATACAACCGCAGTAGAATATGGTATATTAAAAGCACAAGTTTATTTTAACAGTTTCACTGTTCCTTAGGACAAAATAGGGGCTCATTAAAAACGGTACTGTTCATTGGGGTTTATATATAGTGTGCACGGGTGTACCAAAATGAGGAAAAAAATTATTGGCCATTAATTATTCCAAACGCATCATTCTCTGCATAAAAATATCCTTACTTTCTATAACAAGGCTTTAATTTGACAGGTCTTACTTTTACATGTTTTATTTATCCACCAATTTATAAAACTCTAATTAGTTGAAAGGTAGACACCCTTAGAACTCTAACGTGATTAAAGAAAGGTTGGCGAACCGATTTATATCACAAGTTAAGCAAGTGAAATGGTTCGACCGGTGGTATAATCGGTTTATTTTCGTTCATGTCGGTTTAACAAAATAGGTAAAAATGCTAAAAACTATTAACATCAAATGAATTTAATCATGCATTAAACATATTTGCATAAAATTTATCTACAATCTATTCATATTTAAATAAAATAAAATACTTCAAATAAAATAATAAATACTCATATTTAAATACAACATTTAATGTCAATACCTAAACGTTTATACTTGAATCCAACAATAACATCAACATCTATAACATGATTTTTATCATAGACCTCATAGTAAAAAAGATTGGTTTAACACTATTCTATAACAGTTACGTAATTATAAATATATTCAAGTAATTACATTATAAACTCTTTACATTAGATCACATTGTACCAAAAATTTGTGTAATACTATTCTACAACTATTGAGTCATTACAAATATATTATTTATAAAGCTTCCCAATTCACCATTTATCTCTTTCTTAACTTGACTTCATCATTAGACCACACATTAAGTTAGATTTCTGTAACACAATTATACTCATATTTAAATACAATTTTAATGTCAATACCTAAATGTATATACTTGAATCCAACAAATAACATCAATATTTATAACATGATTTTTATCATTAGAACTCACAGTAAAAAAGATTGGTTTAGCACTATTCTATAATAGTTACGTAATTACAAATATATTATAAATAATTCGAGTAATTACATTATAAACTCTTTACAATAGATCACATTGTACCAAAAATTTGTGTAATACTATTCTACAACTATTGGGTCATTACAAATATATTATATATAAAGCTTCCCAATTCATCATTATCTCTTTCTTAACTTGACTTCATCGTTAGACGACACATTAAAATAGATTTCTGTAACACAATTATATAAAAATTATGTAATTATAAATGCATTATATTTTTGTCAGGTATATAGCTGCATGTATCCCTGAGTGCTTTGTTTACTTCCCTCCTCATCTTATGATGTAGCTAGTGCTGAGGTAAAGAAATCAGGGGAAATAATAACGAAAATTGAATGCTTTCTTATATATATATGATCATGGATTTGTCCTCTGACGATTAACAGGATCCAGGGCCGTCCAATCAATCATGAAGCCCTATTCTAGTTCTAGAACTGAAGTAGTCTATTCTTTTTTTTTTAAGTATAGTAAATAAAAAATGGTCATAGCATCATTATTTAAAAAATAATTTGAAATAAAATTATGTATTAACTCTTTAATTTTTGTATTCGGTGGGAATTAATTTTCAATCATCGTCGTTAATCTATTAAGAATTTCTTGTGTCATTTTACAACACAAACAAGGCTTTTAGAACACAAATAAGACTTTAACAATGAATACATGCCTTGTTTATATATACATGAGAATATTGACCAATGACTATCATTAGTATTAGTAGCATATTTAAATGCATCATCATAACTATAATCTAGGCAAATATTTTTGTCAAATAGTTTGGTGACTTCTTCCTTTGTATTAGGTGATATTTATGTATGCTCAAGTGTACTAACTAGTTTCTTTTTGTGTACAGGGAAGTGGACGGGTGGAAGCTATTCAAATACATGCCAACTGTAACGAGATGCTTAAAAGCCAGAATTTTGAGAAACTATCAGGTTTAAGATATTTGAAAGTGCAATATGGGCAGATGATGGGGGATTTCAGTCAGGTCCTTCCAAATATATGTTTCCTTCATTTGTTTGATTGTGCATCTATCCCAACTAATATTAACGTGAAGAAGTTGGCGGTACTTAATTTGTATTATTGCACTAGTTATTTGACCCGTGCTCCGTAACGGAACACCTAGTTTACTGATGTTATGCTATCGCCTCTTTTTTTTTGTTTTAATATTTATAATATTTTCATTGTAATTGTTGGTTTTCTTTCTTTTTTCACATAAATTACAATAAAGTTTAATTTCACAAATCATTAGACTACATTGTAAAAAAAGTACCGAACCGACTTTTCAAGATTCTTTGGGGTCGTTTGGAAGTTGTGATAGTTTTGTTGAGATTGTCATTATGCATGTATTGTTTACAATGTATCGTTTTTTGTTTTTTTAGCAGAAACAATACATGGATTGTTTCTGTGATGTGACAGAAACTATCACTCATTTTGAGTGATTGTTATATCTCAACTAAAAGTTGTGATTGTTGAGATAGTTGAGTTGAGATTGTTTGTCTCAGCTTTTAGCTTATGCGACATACACAATCACACATACCAAACGTTGTATTCTACAATGCATCAAATTAGACAATACATGTATAATATTATACATGCATTCTCAACAATACATCTATTTAACAATCGCAACTTCCAAACGACCCCTTTGTTTCTTGTAAGAAGTAATTATGACTTTCAGTTAATTGGTCCACGATCTATCACAAAGAATAACCATGATATATTGTTAAAAAGTTATTTTGAATTTGTCAAAAGTTAGTTATTGTGGCTTGGTTTGGTAAATCAACCTTTCGTTTTCATTATTACTTAGGACGATATAAACTTCAAATAAACAACTTTTCCTTCAATGGACATTTTCTTTCTTCAGCCAGCCCAAAGCAGCAAGAAATTGTTTACACGTTTTTAGAGCTATAAAAAATAATGTATATATGTGCTTAGTACAAAAGGTCATGCTGATATTAATTTGGGTTAAATGGTAACAAAGTCCTTGTTTAATATTGAAACCTTTCTAGTGGTATACCAATACTAATAAGGTAATTGCTAACCGGTTGATCGTTTTGTTGTCGAAAATTTTTCATTGATGATGGAGTACTGTTACAACACTCGAAGGTATATAGTGATAGAATCTAATTTCAAAACTGATAAGATAATGATGAATGAGTCGGTCATTCTAATTAAACCATCGATCATTATTTTCCATTCTAAAGGAATAAGTGAGTAATTAGAGTTATTCCACAAATCAAACCATGAAAAATATAATTAGAGATTAAATTAAAACAAAGAAGGGAAAATTCCTTACATTGCCTCGTCTAAGAAGAAGGGACTAGATACTATAACAACACCCTTTGTGTTGTTATTGTAACAACACTAGCCTCCAACCAATAGGAAGCTAGGATTATGATGACTTTTTATTGGATGAGTTGACCTAGTGTAAAATCAAAGCAGGGGTATAATCGTCATTATGAAAAATATGTTTAAATAATAATAAAAAAATAAAAAATAAATAAAAAAATATTTTTTTATTTTCGGACCAAAATTTTGGTCGCCGGAATTCGGCCACCGGTCGCCGGAATCTGGTCGCCGGTCACCGGAATATGCTTTTTTGTCGCCGGAATATGCTATTTTGTCATCGGAATATGCCACCGTCGTCGGAATATGCTCACCGTGGTCGGAATATGCTTATCGGCGTCGGAATCTAGTCATCGGGGCCGGAATATGCTTATCGGCGCCGGAATCTACTCACTGACGGTCATCGGAGTTTGGTCAACGGTCTTCGCTGACCGGTCAACGGCCAACGACCACCGGATGTTATGGTCTGCATTGTGAGATTTATGGTTTGGTTTCTCATATTTTTGTATGCCTTTTGTGGTTTGCTTTATCGTGTTTGTGGTTTGCATTAAGAAGTTTCTGGTTTGCTTTATCGTGTTTGTGGTTTGCATTGAGAAGTTTCTGGTTTGCTTTCAAAAATTTTGTGGTTTGCATTGAGGGGTTTGTGGTTTGTTTTAGGAGATTTGTAGTATGCATTAGGAGGTTTCTGGTTTGTTTTTGTGGTTTGCTTTAACGTGTTTGTGGTTTGTATTATGAGGTTTCTGGTGTGTTTTTGAAAATTCTGTGGTTTGCTTTGTGAGGTTTCTAGTTTGTTTTAATATATTTTTGGTTTGCATTAGGACGTTTCTGGTTTGCATTAAGAAGTTTCTGGTGTGCTTTCGAAACTTTTGTGGTTTGCTTTGCGAGATTTCTGGTTTGTTTTAATATATTTGTGGTCTGCATTAGGACGTTTTTGGTTTATTTTACCGTGTTTGTGGTTTGTATTAGGGGTTTCCTGGTGTGCTTTAGAAATATTTATGGTTTGTTTTACCGTGTTTCTGGTATGTTTTAGACAATTTATGATCTGCATTAGGAGGTTTCTGGTATGCTTTCGAAATAATTGTGGTATGCTTTATAAGGTTTGTTATTCTATCCGACGTTCTTACTAGATGAATGGAATTAGTAACAATAATTAGTAATGTGTATACTTACCAGGTTCGTATACATAATTACATAGTTCTCTCTTAATTAATTATGTTTTCACATATAATTGGTATGCTAGCAATTACTGGTTTTTAGATGAGCCATACTAGCAATTTATAAGCGAAAATCGTACGGCTTACTACATCTAAAGTAAATGTGCATTGCCAAACAAAATCATTTCAATCCCTTTAGCGCTTAAAAACCCTAAAATTGAGTACCAGAATGTCAAGTCAACTAATTTCTGAAGCCAATTTACAGAAGCATGATAGCAACAGAGATACAAACATCTGCAAATTTATGCAAATGTGTAGCTGTAGCTAAAACGAGTGGCCCTCGGACCAACTCTTCTTATTTCGTTTGCACAATTGTTTCAATACAACCATCCCTCCGTTTCCGTCTAATCTACTCATCTTCACAGT